CTGGCTAGCTCTGATTCTGCCCACCTAGGAAGCCTGGGAACGCCTAACTCCTCCCCTTCATGCAGTCTAAGTGCTGCCACTGAATCACTCTTGGGCTGATGGTCCCCTGCTGGGGTACATTCATTCCTCTTACCTTGGCTTGGCCCCCAACATGTCATGTAACTTTGGGTTAGCCACTCACCCTCTTTAGCTTTTTGCTTCTACGGCTGTAAAATGAGAAATGATGCCTCTGTCCACACCATCGGCTTCCTCCCCTGGCACCTGCCCCAAACGGAGCTAGCTGGCAACCACAGCAGAACAAAGATCGGGATGGGCCGCCACAGTGTGAGCCTGAAGGGAAGGAAAGGAAACGGCTGGAGCCCACATGCTCCCCTGTCCGAGGAGCAGCCCTGAAGACACTCAGGCATGGTCTTCGAATCTCTCCACTCCCACCTCAGCTTGGTGGTTGAAGACGGTGATGGGGATTCTGGAGGCAGGAAAGAACTTCCTTCCATCTCCCCCATCCCCCAGGTGCTGTTCCAGGCCTGCTCGACCCCCCTTCCCTCCTTGGCCTCGCTCTCCAGGGATGTCCTCACATGCTCTGTGATTCAGCCACTGCCCACATTCTAATAATGGCCAATGGCTGCTCAGTCCCTGGCACCCACATTGCTCGACTCCGTGAGGCCCCAGGGCTGGGCTCCTGGGCAGAAGGGGCAGTGGTGTTCCCCTAGAATCCAGTGCAGGCTGCCCCCTGAGCTGTGTAAGGCCCTGCCTGGACCTCTTGCCGACTGCCTACGGGACTTCTCCACCTGGATGTCACACGGGCACCACAAACTCAACCTGACCCCATCTGAGCACGTCAGCACCTTCCTCCCTTCTCATAATGGCACAATTCGCCCAGAGACTCAGCCCCCAATCCCCCATCTCTTCTGATGTCCCTTCACCCCTTATCTATGTCCAGCCTCTTCTCAAGTCCTGTCAATCCTGTCCCAAGCTGATTGCCTCTCTCCATCTTTTCTGCCCCTGGATTGTTTGTCTCACTTTAAAATTACCAAACACATATGGAGCACTTGTTATATGCCTAGCCCTGTTGTGAGTGCTTTACCAATACTAACTCATAACTTTCATTTCACAGAAGAGGAAACTGAGGCACAGAGAAGTGAAGCATTTTACCCAGCGGCTGGACTTGAGCCCAGGCAGCCTGCTCTCAAGTCTGGGCTCTAAGCGCCCCTCACAGGACCTCTCCCAAAGTCTCCTTGCTTGTCTCTGCACCTCCAGTCTCTTCCTCATTCAGTCCCTCCCACGTGTTGCTCACAGATGCATCCTTCTGCCCTTCTCGATTAAGAAAATGCTTTAATGACAAAAATGACTCCAGCAGTGTGGTCTTTCTGGAGAATGCCCTGCTCAAAAAACCTTGAAACCTACCCCTTCTCCCCCTGCCCCATTTCCCTACTTCATGCTAACAGAATAAAGCCCATTCCCTGGCTAAGGATTCAAGGATGTGACCCCAACAAGCTCCCAACTCCCCTGGGGAGCCCCTCACTGTTCCTGGCTCCCCTCAGGCACCCTGTCTTCTAACCTCCCTGACGGCACCGGTTCCGGCCCCGGCACTGCACGGGGGTGAGTTCTGAATGTGTGATGGATCGTTCTTCCTTGAGGAAAGTCTGCAGGTCTGATTCCTCTTTGAACCACCAGAGCATCTACCACTGTGTGTCGCAGAGAGATAGGCACGACACACGTGATGAGTGAATAACAGTGGAGCCAAGCTGCTTTATGAGGGTGGAAATTAATTATTTCATTAAACAACATTTGTGGAATCCCTAAGGCTAATAGCTCACTTACGCTGAGAGCTTATTATGTGCTGGTCACTGTGTGAAGCCCTTCACATATATTATCACTTAAACCTCTCTGCAGCCTTGTGAAGTCAGTATTATCACTATCCCCCATTTTATAAATGAGGAAACTGAGGCTCTGAGAGGGGAACTAACTTGTCTGGAGTCATACAGCCTTCAAGTAGAGAAGTTGGAATCAGAACTGAGGCTACCTGACTCTTAAGTCCGTGCTCTTGATCACCAGACCTCACTGCCTCCAGAGGCCAGCAAAGTGATAGACAGACATTCCAACATCTGGGTGCTGTCTCAAGACCACATAACGGGACATATAAGTGATGTCAAGGTCATAGAGTCCAACATCTGAGAAACATCATAGCACTGACAATGTCAAAATGTCTGAGGAATATAAGGATTGTATATAATGTTGCCCTTTGCTCAGCCAAACATTTACCAAGCACCCACTACATCCATGCCAGGCACCCTTTTTACCCAAGGGTGTAGTGCAAAAATGCATTCTCTCATATAGTTGGTGGGGTGAGAGAGAGAGAGAGAGAGAGACCAAAAAACTAAACAAAAATTATATGTCAGATATATACACTACCAAATGTAAAATAGCTAGCTAGTGGGAAGCAGCCGCAAAGCACAGGGAGATCAGCTCGGTGCTTTGTGACCACCTAGAAGGGTGGGATAGGGAGGGTGGGAGGGAGACACAAGAGGGAGGAGATATGGGGATATATGTATATGTATAGCTGATTCAGTCTGTTACAAAGCAGAAACTAACACACCATTGTAAAGCAATTATACTGCAATAAAGATGTTAAAAAAAATTATATGTCAGAGGTGACAATTGCCATGGAAAAAAATAAAGCTGAGTCAGGAAAAAGGGACTGTCCAGTGAGCTGGGTGGGGTTACACTGGTGGCACTGCTACTTGTATAGGATCAGGAAGGCCCCCCCTGCCCCCAATAAGGTGAAGTCTGAGCAGAGCAGTGAAGTAAGTGGGGGAGTGAGCCATGCAGCGACGTGTAGGTATCTCAGGCAGAGGACCAGCAAGTGCAAAGGCCTTGAACTATGCTTGGCCCAGTCTAGGAACAGCCAAAAAGCCTGCGTGGCTGGAGCAGAGGGAATGGGGAGAGAAGGAGTAAGCAAGAGTCACAAACACAGGAAAACGCCAAGGCCTACATAAATTCAGGCTCCGTGTAACACTGCACGTCTGGGTAACAGTAATAGGATTCATTCGTTCCACATGCCTGGCACTGTCCTCAGTCCTGCCAACACAAAAACTGCTATAGACAGGATCTCTTATAGTCTAACGGGGAAACAGATAAACTCCACAGTGCCACGTGACAGGTGCTATGTCAGGGCGCTATGGAAGTACAGAAGAGCGCATCTAACCCACACTAGGGACCAAGGAGGATTCCTGGAGGAGACGGCACTTGAGCTGCCAAGCAGGAGAAGGAAAATGCTCCAGAACACAGATGCAGAGAGGGAGGGGAAGGCCAGAACCTGGAATGCTGGGCAGAGCTTCAGCAGCAGTCCAGGGCCAGGGAGCAGCTTGTGGGAGGAAGGGGTCAAGAAGAAGGGCTTGGGGAGGAAGGTGATGGGATGGGGAAGGGGGTGGGGAAGGGCTTGGGTGTGTGGGGACTGACAGAGCATCTGTACAGGGAGGCCCAAGTTTAAGCAAGTGTGTTGGAAGTTGGTGGTTATGGAGTGGGAGATACCAGGTGAGTAGAGGTGATAAAAAGACTTCAGCAATTTACCTGCTGGCCCAGAACCCTGCTATCTCATCGGCCATTAGGTGGGTCCACCTGGGAGATGACATGGGAGCAGAAGGTAGGGGGCCACCCCCACCTGCACCAGATCTTGGTTTCTCATCCCATCCTACAAGGTTCAGATCCTTCTTTTAGGCAGATCTCTGTGTCCTCACCCTGGGGCAGCTCCAGGAAATTCCTCAAATAATAATAACTCAAATTACTCACAACCCTTTGTGGTCTTCAGTGTGCTTCCACCATCATAACCCCTGTGTCTCACAGTGAATCTAGGATGGACAGAGCTCTGCTGTTATCCTCCTTTCCATAGGAGATGCTGCAGCTCAGAGAGGTTAAGGCTTTGTCAAAGTCACACGGCCAGTGGGTGACTAAGTTGGGACTCGAGCCCAGCCCTTGAGATTGCAAATCCCACGGTAACACTGCAGCAACTGCAGAAAACAAGGCCCGGTGATGGCCGAGTCCCAAGGATAAGACTGGGAAAGGGGGTGGGACAGGCTCTGGAATGGGGAGGAGACAGATACAGGGGTGGTGGAGGCTGAGAATGGAGGCAAAAAGGGAGCAGTGTAGGGGGTTGGAGAGGTTTTGAGACAGACCTAGAGGCCTCTCCAGAAAGATCTGGTAAAATGTGCCAGCAGGGTTGAAAAAAAATACAAGCTGCATCCTCCCAGCCCCATGTCTCTGTGACAAGGTAGGGAGGGCCCTCTTGCTCCCATTTCACAGGTGAGAAAAGGGAGGCAAGGAGGGGTGCCCACATGGCTTGCCCAAAGGCCCACAGGAACTTAGGGCCCAGGGGGCCTTTTAGAAGCCGGTAAGGTAGACAAGACATCGGAGACTTTTCCCACTCCAGCGTGAATGACGAAATAGAGATGATGAGAGGGGAGGTGGTGATGGAGAAAGCAGGGCCGCATCCAAAGAGGGAGGGGAAACAGGCAGAGGTACAACGGAGCCTGTCAGCGGCAAAGATGGTGGAGAGATAAGGCCCTGACACCCAGCTCCAGTTACAGGCAGGCAGCATCAGCTGGTCGGGTGTCACGGACTCCCGGCGCCTCCTCCCGCCCGCTTGGACCCATCCACTTGGGCAGTTCCGCAGCGCAGAGTTGCCTGGTGCCTGAGGGGTGAGGATACCAGGAAGGAGGGGGCGGGAGGAAAGGGCTGTGCGCCGCCTCCTCCTCTTCCGCTTGCAAATCCGCAGAGGCCTCCGCCGCAGCCTACAGGCCCGGCCTGGCCCCCTCCTCCCCCCATCTCCCGCCCCCCTCCCTGCGTCTGGATGGTACGGTCCGGTCCTCCTGGCCCGGCTGCAGTGGATGTTGCTAGAACGCCCGGCGTGGCCCCCTCCTCCCCCCATCTCCCGCCCCCCTCCCTGCGTCTGGATGGTACGGTCCGGTCCTCCTGGCCCGGCTGCAGTGGATGTTGCTAGAACCCACGCGGAGGAAGGAAGAGACGCAGGCAGGCTGCGGTGACCCAAGCGGCCGCCCGTGCCTCAGGGACCCCTTCCCGGAGAGACTGCACCATGACACAGGGAAAGGTATCGGCATCTCCCCCACCTGCATCATCCTCCATCCTCTGGTTCCCCCATCTCCCTGTCATCCTAAGCAAACTCTCAGGACCACTGTAAGCATCCTCCCTTGGCTCTTATGCGAAGGTCCTGCGTGGTCCTTGCTGAAGTCAGAGGCCCAAAAGGCCTGTTTCAAGGAATGGGTTGTGGCCTCTTCCTGCCCACCAGGCTCACCTCTCCTCCCATCTACATTCCATCAATTGCTTTGGCATCACGGGAGCCTTCACATACGCCCATGTCCCCTTAAGGAGTCAGCTTAGGCGTCTGGTGTGTGTGTGTGTGTGTGTGTGTGTGCGCGCACACGCATCCCCAGGGTGAGCCCTGAGGGGCAGTCCCTGTAGGGCACCCCCACTCTGTCCAATCCCAACCCCAACCATATTATACTCATCTTTTACACCCTCCACAGAACCCCCACCACCACCAAACTCCCTGTCATTATTCCATATCTGGATACAGCCCCTGTGGTTGGGGGGGTTCCTATGGCAACCCTGCTTCAGGATGTTCTAATTTTTGTTTTCGCTTTGGCCAGACATAGGACTGAATGGGATTGGATAAAACATCTTCTCTTTTTGTTCCTGTTTTAGGCCTGAAGTGTAGGGGAGGGGCTGGGGCAGAGACTTGGCTGGCCTAATAGGGTTATGTAACATCAATAGCCTGTGGAATTACACAACCACCAGGGCCTGGGGCAAAGAAGGAGGGTCCTCTGGCCCTCTGCTTGGGGGTGCTAAGGATTGGGCAGAGAAAACAGAAGAAGGGCCTCCCTTCCACTCCCCCTTCTTTTCTCAGAGATGAGCCTCAGAGCCAATGGCATCTTTCCTGGGCTCTCAGACCCTTCTTTCACTGTTTTTTAAGCTCATCAGGCCTCAAAATGATGTCATTGGATGATACCACCTTGTGCCATTTGGACAGACTTCACTTGGTAATGCTGGATGCTGGGGGTCCAGGGCCTAGGGTCAGCAGGGTGGTTGTTGGTGAGGAGGACCAATCTGGACCGGGCTGAGGTCAAAGGTGATAATCCTTTTCCCAGGCACAAGCCCTGGGTCTGGGCTCAGAGAACCTTGGTTCAGGTGGGCTGAAATGGATTCTCCCGGGCATGACCCTTCTGATCTGGGTGATGAAGGGGGCTGGGGAGTGGGAGGGATGAGCCCGGGCCCTACTCCCACAGACCTGGGTTCTGAGGCCCTTCCCTAAGGACGCAGGGGTGGGGTTCACCATGGTGAAAATGAAGAGCTCCCCGCTCTGCGGATTCTCTCCCTCCATTTCCCACCTCCACCTCCACCAGTCACTTTGCTGACGCTGCTTCCTGTCCTCAGGTGAATGTATTGCCCCTGCCTCCTCTGCCCCTCACCCCCAGCTTGCTCCCAGGCTTTCTGATGATGGAAAAGGCCCCTCCAGTTCAGTCAGCCTCAGGGCTGGATGGAAGCAGACACCTTCCGGTGCTTGTTCATCTCTGGGCTGCCTCAGCTGGACGCTGCCCGCAGAGAAGGAACTTTGCAGCCTTCCTCAGTGGCCCTGCAGGTTTAACTCATTCTTCTTGGAACCAGACCTAAATCCCGTTTGTTTTCTGAGGTTCAGTCCTTTTGGTGACGTTTCAGTTTTCATACCATCCCCGCCTCCCCAATCTTCCCTTCCCTGGTGGCATCATTCAGGCCCTCCCAGCCCCTATCTTCTCACCAAAGCTAAACTTGCACATTGTGGAACCAGGGCCATATCTGAGTGTAAATAGACTTGAATTTTCAACCTGCCATGGGATATTTCCCACTGGGCCTCGGTTTCCTCATCTGTAAGATGAAGGAAGGGGCTGAATGAAGAGGTGCTTTCCCTTCCATCAGTGACAGTCAGATTCTGTTCTGGTTTGAGGGAGAGGCTGAGGTTCCAATAGCATGAGGCCAAAATGGACTCTTAGGCAGGGGCCTCTTGCCCCTCCGCCCCCCTGCAGCCCCCATTCCTCTTCCTCTTTTTTTTTTTTTTTCTTTGTCTGCGCTGCCCACAGCATGCGGGATCTTAGTTCCCTGACCAGGGATTGAACCCGTGCCCCCTGCAGAAGCATGGAGTCTTCACCACTGGACTGCCAGGGATGTCCCCCTCTTCCTCTTTTTTCCCCTCTCCTCTCCCCTTTCTGTTTCCCTGCTCTCCCATCCCCACCCTCCTTGGTCATCTCCAGCCCAGCAGAAGGAGGTCAGCCCCAGTGGACGGTACCTGGGCTCTGCAGCCCAGTGGGCCATGTGTGGCTCTGAGTCATTCTGATCCTCAGTTCCTTCATTTAAAAACAGGGATCAAAATACAACGAGCAAGGTAGCAGGGAAATTCAATGAGAGGACCTTTCATTCAGTAATACTTTTAAGGGCCTACTACTCTGTGCCAGGCCCTTCCCTGGACCCCAGGGAAATGGTGGAACCATATAGCACCAGTCCCTGCCCCGGGGGACGGTGTCCACCAATGGTGGGTTCTCCTAAGAATTTTCTCCATCCTCAGTTCTTATCCCAGCTCCAGTGTGTGCCCCTGGCCAGCCCTGACTCCCCTGGAGCTCAGTTCTCCCATCTGTAAAATAGGGAGATTCTTTTTTTTCCAGATTTATTGGGGTATAATTGACAAATAGAAATTGTATATATCTAAGGTGTGTGATATTTTGATATACATATAACTTGAGGAATGATTACCACAATCAAGCTAGTTAACACGTCCGTCACTTCACATAGTTACCTTCTGTGTGTGTGTGCATGTGTGGCAAGAACACTTATGATCTACCCTCTCAGCAAATTTCAAGTACACAATACAGTATTGTTAACTATAGTCACCAGGCTGTAATTAGATCTCCAGAACTTTTTCATCGTGCATAACTGAAACTTTGTGCCCTTTGACCAGTGTCTCCCCATTCCCCCCACCCCCCAGACCCTGGCAACCACCATTCTACTCTGTGCTTCTATGAGTTCGACAATTTTAGATTCCTCATATAAGTGAGATCCTGCAGTTTTTGTCTTTCTGTGCCTGGCTTATTTCACTTAGCATGATGTCCTCCAGGTTCACCCATGTTGTTGCAAATGACAGGAATTCCTTCTTTTTTTAAGGCTGAATAATATTCCATTGTATATATACCCCACATAAAATAGGGAGGTTCTTGTCTGCACCACTGCCGTTCCTAGTGCAGGTGAGAAAGTACCCATGGAAGTTCCAGAAATTGAGGGGCTGGGGAAGAGGACTTAGAAGGTGCCCTGTCCCTGGTGACTGTCTCTCTCTGCCTCTACTCCACAGCTCTCTGTGGCTAACAAGGCCCCCGGGACAGAGGGGCAGCAGCAGGCGAATGGTGAGAAGGAGGCTCCAGCAGTGCCTTCGGCCCCACCCTCCTACGAGGAGGCCACCTCTGGGGAGGGGCTGAAGGCAGGAGTCTTCCCGCCAGCCCCCTCGGCTGTGCCTCTCCACCCCAGCTGGGCCTATGTGGACCCTAGTAAGTCTCTCAGTTCCTGGAGGCTGGAGCATCAGGGGGAGTGGTGGGCCCAGATGGAAAACCTGCATAGGAAGAGGTTGCCCGGAGATAGACGCACTGTGTGGTTGTTGTATGAGGCTCTGATGTCAAAGGTTTGGGATTTGGAGGACTGTTCTGAGGGTAGGTCACGGAGAACTCCATGAATAAGGGCTGATAGAGTTTCTGCAGGCATAGTTCTCTTGGATGGGGAAGAGGGGCTTTTTCAAGCTAGGACAAAAAGAGGGGACAGATGGGGGAGAAAAACCAGGGGCTGTCCTAGAAGAAAGGGATGCAGAGAGGGAGTGAGAGAGGTCAGAGTGGACACAGGAAAGAGCAGTACGAGGCTGCAGCTAACTGTGGCCTCAGCTGGGGCTGGCTCCCTGTGAGTGTGGGTGCAGTTTGCTGACATGCTGGCTGATCTGAAACCTGTCCCCGTGGAGGCCCCAGGGTTGTTTAGGGCAGGGGCCTGAGGATCCACTTCACCCATCACTCTCCTTGTCTCTCTACCCTCCCCCAGGCCTTAACTGGGGGCAGGAGAGCATGATGTGGGGAAGGTGTGTGGATGCCAGCCTTAGCGTCCCTCATGGCCCGACCCACCCGGGCTGACGCCAGCTCCTTGCAGACTAAGAATCGGGCTGGTAGGGGCCCCTCTGTTCGGTGTGGCAGCCTGTGAGAGCTTTGCCTCAGGGCTGGGAACGTACAGCTCCCGCAAGCTGCAAGGAAGTCTTCCTCGGCCCCCTCGACCCCCTCCCCCACCTTGTCACCCCACCCCCACCCCCAGCAGAATTCTAGAAGGGATCCTGGGGACAATGCCTCAGACAGGCTCTACTCACAAGGAGCGGCCACCATGGTCCACACCTCCCACCACAAAGCCCCTCTGCCCAGACCCAAGCAGACCCACCCCACCGTGATCTACTGGAGGGCCTTTGAAGGTCTGGTGTTCATGGGAGCCCTTCCTCCTGCCGCTGACACCCACAGGACTGCTTTTTCTCTCCTTTTCTCCCCGTCTGTGGCCTGGCCATTTGGGCTTTGGTGGGGGACGTGGACAGAACATGAAGGAGTGAAGGATAAGAGGTTTAGGGTCTCCAAGCCCCAGGTTGGCAGTGGGTCCACCTCCCTCCACCTTCCTCATTTCCCATATCCTGGTTGCCAGGACTGGCTGCCTTAAGGAATGTTTTCCAACGAACTGTCAGGGCAGAGGAAGGCAGCTCATTTCAGTCAGCATGTGACAAACATTTACTAAGCACCAGGCACCGTGTCTGGCCCTGAGCTAATTTCTGGGGATGCATTGATTTGCAAGCCCTTCTCTCACAGAGCTGACAGTGTAGACAAGTAAATGGATGATTACCACATGGTGAAAGGCAGTGATGGAGGCCTTGGCAGTTCAGCTACCCCACCTGACAGTCAGGGAAGACTTCCTGGAGGAAGGGGTATCCATGAGGGGAGTCCTGAAGGATGGCATGTATTAGCTTGGTGAAGAGGTGGGAAAATGAGTGTCCAAGGCTGAAAGAAAGAACGTGCAGGGGCCCAGAGGCAAGAGAGCACATTGCTGAAAAAAATATAGTCAGGCTGGAGAAAAGTAGTAGGGAGTAGTGTGCAGTGGGGCTGGAGGACTCATGGGAGGCTGAGGAGGCTTTGTTAAGGAACTTGAACTTGAGTAGAAGGCAGTGAGGAGCCATCAAAGAATTTGAAGCGGGACAGTGCCGAGGTCAGATTTGAAAGGTCAAGACAGGCTCTTGCTGTGGAGGGGAAAGTCATGGAGAACTTGCAGGGATGGTGGAGAGCAGAGCGGACACATTTGAGGCCTTAGGAATGACCCAGACGAGGGATGAAAGAGAGAGGGTGGTGTCGTCAGCATCAGGCACAGAGCTTTCACTTTTATCCGTTTCATCCCCATGAGGTGGGTATCACCAACCCATATCACGGAAGAGACAAAGAAGGCTGGTGCCTTGCTTAAGGTCACACAGCTAGTCAGTCTTGGGGAGTGATCCACGTGTTTGCTTACAGAGCCCATGCT